AAAAAGCACTATTCATGAGCAGACATCCTTACCTAAAGTTGGTGGACAATAGAGTCGACTAGTCGGCTCCGTACCGTACCAACTTTCATAAGGATATGGGTTTGTCCTTTGTGTGCATAAGGACAAGACAACAATAGTCATGCTAAGCAAGCTTCCTTTGATCGCTGAATGCTGGAATAACCTGAAGGTCTCTTCAGCATTCACTGAGGCTTGAGCAGTCTTCACACATTTGTAGACAGGCTTGTAATCACTGAGTACCGCTTCAGATCACGTACTCGCCAGTCTCTAATCTTCAGTTTCAGTCTTCGACATTCGCTGAAGGTTCTTTGGTGTGAGTGTTGTCTTCTTGAAGTATCGCTGTCTCTGATTGATTTACTATACAAGTTCTTCAGCGATCACTGAACAGACTCAATGATGATCAATGGAACTGAAAAGACAAAAACATAAATACAACGTTTTAGTGAAAAGGGATTATCATCAAATCACTGAGAGAGAGGATCAACAAGTTGGTTATTTAACTTATTTTGAAGATTTGAGGCCTCTTTATACATTTCAAAGCTAAAAGATTAGGCCCTTTGACCTTGAATGTCATATGCCTTTTCCACAAGGGCCAAGATCCGTTTTCGTCAGCAGTTGTAAGACTTGAGAGAACAACGATCTGGAAATACGGACTGAAACGTACCCTTTCGTCGAGGGAACATAGAATCATCCAACAACCCCACGTTGCGATTCAGTAACGTCGCATGAGAGCCAAAATTCCTTAATGAAACGCTGTGGAATAGCGTCATCCAAGTTCGTAAGAGCAGGATTGAGAAAATGATGTTGAAGGTTATCAACGATTGGGTGAAACCTAGAGTCAAAATTGTCTAGGTTGAGGTAAAGTGCGTGATTATTTGGTTTCAGAGGAAGTGTAGTAATGGTATGAGTAGATTCGTCAATGGATTTGAGGGTAGTAGTCTGTGTTTGAGAATTGTTTGATGTGGATGTAGACATTTGCAGGTTTGTGAGCAAGAAAATGACCCTGGTTTGTGGTTGGCTGAAAGTTAGGGTTTCACAGAAATGTATAAATTGGTGGTTGATTTTGTGTTTTGTGTGCAGATGTTGGACTTAATCAACTTACTTGCAATGAATATCGATTGAAGCGAAGTAAAAGAGGGGGAATCTTGAGGTCACAAATCGTCAATGGCGGTAGTTGGTTTTTAGTTCGTAGAATACAACAATGAGAGAAATATGGAGAAAGGGTTTGAAAGCATTAAAATTTTAATTTGGGGAATAAAGGGTTATTTAAACCGAGATTTGGTAATAGGAAATCGAATGAGAATCGGCACGAAGCATCGAGAGCTGAAACGGTTATGCAACAACATATGGAAGAAAGACACGTGGCTTGGCATGCTTTGCATCCCGCCTCCTTTACTTGAAAAATTAGAGATACAGGCGGTGTAACAGGTTTCCACGTGCCCTGGGACAGGTTTCCACACCAATCAGTCTGGAAATTTAATTTGCAAATGAGGATAACATAGCTCAAGAACAGACTCAGAGTTGTAACACATGTTATTCAGAGTTACACATCTGAAAAGCACATCCAGAGTTAGATGCAGATCGTCTGTGTAGCTCTGCATGAGGAACGCAATGTTCTACTTAATATGTGCATCCACAGAGCTCTTATTCGAGAATTAAATGTTAACCTCTGTATGAAGAACGGAATCAAGCCTCAAGGACACAAGCGTAACCAAATTTCCCAGAGATTAAGACGTCAACCACCCAGAGTTGCAAGTCTAAAGTCGATCTTCAAAATAACACAAGCGTAACCAANCCAGAGTTGCAAGTCTAAAGTCGATCTTCAAAATAACACAAGCGTAACCAAATTTCCCAGAGATTAAGACGTCAACCACCCAGAGTTGCAAGTCTGAAGTCGATCTTCAGAATAACACAAAGCGCCTTCACATTTGACATGCATAGAAAGCGCTCTTTCTCAAGACTTAAATATAGACCCTCTGTGTAGCTCTGTATGAAACACGGACTCCGATTCAGATTGAAAGCAGAGCACATGCAGAACGAGCGGCACAACCTCAACGTAGGACATGAAGATCGAGAGCTCTTTCAGAACAGTTAAATGCAGAGCCTATGCATAACTTTGTATGCAGAGCGGAGGCAGGGTTAGAGTGAAAGCTTTGCACGTGCAGAACCTTTATTAAGGTCTGTATGAAGAACGGAATCAACCTTCACAGACACGAGGGTGAAGAACATTCCCAGAGTTTAAAATTGATACGGCACACAGTCGGAACTCTGAAACCCACCTTCAAAGAGACAAAGCTCTTTCTGAACACTTAAATACAGACCCGCTGTAGATCTCTGTATGAGCCACGTAGTGTGTGTTTGAGGGACTGCATAGGCCATGCAGAACCTCTGTTAAGGTTTAGATGAAGAGGCGGAGCCTCAACGTAGGACATGAAGAGACAGAGCTCTTTCTCAACACTTAAGTACAGAGCCTCTGTGTAGCTCTGTGTCATGCATGGAGGCAAGATTTTGGTGACCGTGTTGCACATTCAGAACCTTTCTTAAGGTCTATATGAAGCACGAAAGTTGGGGTCTAACAATACACCCCTAAGAGTAAATAAGGCAGGCTCTTAATTGAATTAACAAACAAAAAGTCTAATCGAAGCCAGAGATTAAAAGGAATTTCAGATTTTCGTTAACTATCTAAAAAGTACAATACAATTGAATGGAAATAACAATGACTTTACAAGATAGGAAAAAAAACTTATAAAACATAAGGTCTAAACATTTTGAAGTCTGATGAACTTCCTAAGAAGTTCACGAAACTCTAACATGTTGCGAATTGACGTTAAGATGATTTTTGCCCGTTCCTTTGCTCCTGGGGAATTGTCTTTGCTCCTGGCTAGTTTATCTCTGATGTACCGCAGGGTAGAGTTTGAATACTTGTAGTTCTGCATATCTCAAAAAAAGATCTTCTTATTCTGTGCATTCCAAAATACTACTCTCTCTTCTGGTTCCACCAACACAATCCAAGAAGGGATGCTATTGATGCCCTGCAGATCTTCGTTTGGTGCAGCGACAGTCAATTGATCCACTCCCAGATCCAGAGCTAATTGGAAATCGAACTTGCTTCTGAAGTCGAGAAGGTCGGTCATCGTTTGCCTTATAGCAGAGTTGGCCACAACGTATTTGACCCCTTTGTCCTTCTTGTGATCTGTGAAGTAAAACAGAGAGAGAAGATCCTACAGATTCAGATTTATAAGGTCACAATCTGTGAACCTGCAGATCTGTCTACGAGACCTCTCCACCGTATACTCATAGAAGATAATCTGGTTATGCGCGAAGGTACGCTTCTTGATGTCCATGACTTGCTTGATGCCATCAACGAAATGGACTGCAGAGATGGGCTGGGTGTAGAGATCTAGGAACCTCTGCCTGATATGCTCTTGAACTATTGGATGAAGACTGATCTTTTGGACTGGTGTCTCTTCTCGCAGGTTGTAGAGAAATTGGTAGATTTCCTCGCTGTTTGCTTTGTCCTTTATTGGCTTATCAAGGGGTGTAGGCGTAAACATTGCATCCATGCTCTCCTTAATCTTTTGAACGTGATCAGAGGGATGCCTTTTTTTAGGCCTACTGCTTGCGCCTTCTTCATCTTCTGCTCTGGTTGGCCTGATGGGGACCTTCTGCCTCATTGCAGGTGGGACTACTCTAGTCCCTTGTGCAGGGACCCTAGCTCTGTGTGTATTCTTTTATGGTAGAGGAGCAGCAATCGTGATGCCTTCTAGAGGGACAGCAAGAGGAATGCGCAAAAGTGATGGATCAACCACATTCACTGCTACCACCTCTTCTTCTTCTCCTCTTATTGGAGCACCTGCGTCCATGGCGTATTCCATTGATGCAGACAAAGCCAGGTTTGAATCAGATGACGAGTAAATATTTAGAAGATCTATCAATTCTGTATTCTTTTGTGGCCCAGCTGCCTCTACCTGGGATGCCATGGGCATCTTTCCCTTTCTGAGCACCTCTGCTTGTTCTGGCGCTGGTTGACTCTGTGCCCTCTGCCTTGAAGAATCTTGTGCTGCTTGGCGAGGGGCAGAGGACGTGGGTGCAGAGGGGGAAGCCGTAGGTGTAACACTTGGAATGGCTGTTGGATATTTCTCCCCTTCTTCACGATTTTGAGGACCAGACTGGTCTGGGTCCTCATCATCGTCAAGTCGTCTCCTCTTCGATGACTCAGCACATGGAGAAGAATCCATTCGTCTTTTTGGCCTCGACTCCTCTGCTTGAGGCATAGACTTGATTTTCTCCTCAAAGACTTTGAGGAGATCTTCGACTGCATCGCCAACCCGTCGCATCTCGAATTCCGATCGATACTCGAATTTGGCCAGAGCAAACGTGATGGCTGCCGCTGCTTTCGTGGCTTTGTTATTGAAATCGGATGTGAAGTTCGCCACCTTCTGTAGAAGTCTGTCACCCAGAGCATTCATTGCGCTCTGAGTGACATAGTCCATAGGTACATTCATAGGGATGATCGCTTGGGCGTCATAAGAAGTGGACGCCTCACCCCTCTGCATGGAAGCTATGACCTCTCGCAAGGCCTCTGCATTTTGTGCCGTCAATTTCGTCAAAGTATCGAGACGAGAAGCATTTTTCGAAGACTCAGCTCTCAATACTGCCAAGGATGCTCGTATCTCATCCAAAGCAAGTGCAGAAGGGGACGGCTCTACATGAGCCATGATGAGTTTTAGCTCTTCCAAGGAGCACCGCACAGAGGTGAAAAGGGAATGCAACTCTTCCCTTGTAACATATGTTGGTTGTGTAACCTCTGGCTCAACAAATGGGCCAGATTAAGTCCCCATTCTAGGGACGCCTTCATTCACGACTTGGTTGATGTTGGTTGGGGAAGGACTTCCAGCAGATCCTTGTTGTTCTTCTTGAGGAGAATTCACTACCGCTGTTCTATCAAGGAGAGTATCCAAGGAGGGTTCAGAGCTGGCCAGAGGACTCTCCATGAGTGGACTTAGAGACTGGTCGAGAGTCTCAAAGTCATGTGCACCTATTCCTTACTCTGAACAAGGTGAGGAGTCTACACGTGCAGAGGAAACGAATTTCTCTGTATGGGAAAGTAGCGTGATATGGGGAGACATATCACTTATACGTTCAAAGGTTGCACCCTTTTGAGAGGGTCTTCCCTGTGGTGTGGCGTCCCTTTGACTGTGATAACCAGAAGCAGATGCCACCTCTGGTTGATTTGGTTGGGTTAGGTTCGAGGTGTGCACCTCTGTTTCAATGACTTTCGTGTCTCGACCACCGGCGTCAGATGATTCAGTTGCACTGGGAGTTGGGCTGTCGAAACGGATGTGCTTATTTACCCTAGGCTGCTCTGGCTTACCCTTAGGCATAGCAGCTGTTACACCTCCTCCCTCTTCTCCTTCTTCTTCTGTGTCTTCACTCTCGTCACTTGATGTATTGGACCCAGCAACATCATCAAAATGTTCCTGGTTTTCTTCTTCTTCAGAGCTAGAGAAGTGCCCCAAGCCTTGATTGGCTGCTTCCTCTGCTCTGAATCTTTCTTCTTCCTTGAGGCGAGCAATCTCTGTTTGCCTTGCTCTCTCGACTCTCTCCTCCTCTGCTTTCAAACGAGCAATTTCTTCAAGTCTCGCTCGTTCAGCTCTATCCTCCTCTTCCTTCCTCATTCTCTCTCTAGTCTCTTTTTCTTTGCCTCTAGTCTCTTTCTCTTCTTCTCTCTTTCTTTTTCCAATCTCACCCCCTTTTCTTCTGCCTCAGCCATTTGAGTGTCCTCCCTTGCCTCATCCTCTTCGGAATTGGTCGTTCCTTAACATAGCCTTCTTTGTTGACCGTAGATTTGTATTGAGTGAGCACATTCACCTTGTGCACAGGCAGCCGTCCCACGTCAATGTTGTTGTCATCAATAACTGGTCTTAGAAGAAGACCCAGAAAGCGAGAAAACAAGAGAGATGGCAGTTCCTTTCCTTTAGCCACCTCTTGGCACTTCTTCACGACAGCTGCCTTGAACTCTGTGTAGAGGAGGAAGGAGTAGTCGAGTGATAAGTCAAAAAAGATGCCATAAATGATCTGTAGAATATTAGTGGAGCACATGTCCAAGCTGCCAATCTTCCCAGTCAACGATCAATTCACCAATGTGAACAGGGTGTTCCACATTGGGGATAGGTACTGTCGGCGGTATTGAGAAGGATACTGGATGGATTGGTTGTATCCCAAGAACTTCAAGAAGAAAACAATCTCATCTACAGATGGAAGTGGGGCACATTCATTCAGCTCTAAATCCGTCTTCGTAGGGATTTGCAAAACTCGTGAAAACAGGGACCTTGAAATGCGAACAGTGATGAATTCATTTGTAGATGGCACAAAAAAATCTCTAACAATACCTCGTTGGGAATCAGTAACTGAGCAACTCTGCCAGAATTCTTGGATGAATCTTTCAGGGACAAGATCATCGGTGTTCGTCAGGGCAGGGTTCAAGAAATGGTGTTGGAGGATATCAATAATAGGATGGAATTTTTGGTCAAAGTTGTCTAGTGAGAGTTGAAGGGCATGGTTGTTGGGTTTCACTGGAAGAAAAACCAAATTTTGGTTGGATTCCTCAATAGTTTTGAGAGTATTGGTGTGAGTTTGAGAGTTCCCTGAGTCTGAAGAAGACATTGTTGCAGGTTTTGAAAATAAAAGCTTTTGAACAGTTAGGGTTTTGAAAAGAACTGGGTGTTGATTCTTTAATTTGAACTAGAAGGATGGTTTGAGTACTTACTAGAAGATCGAAGATGAATGATTGCAACAAGGATTGCGGTTGCATAAACTGATTTAAGAACTTGCAAAAATATCAATGGCGGTTTTTGAGAGCTTGAAGACGAGGATTCTTGAATACTTTGAAAGCGTAAAAGAAAAATTGGGGGATGGGTTTGTTTAAATACAAAATAAAATAGAGTACTCAAGTGTAATGCACCAACCAAACGTCAGATAAACGGAGCGGTTCACGCAGCACCTGTGTCCATATGACACGTGGCATGTGAGCTGCAAAATACGTCGAGAGCCGAAATGGTTAGGCAAAAGCGAATGGGGGGAAGACACATGGCTTGGCATGCTTTGCATCCCACCTCCTTTACTTGAAAAATTATAGATACAGCTGGTGACCGTCTGTAAGTGAAAGCTTTTATTTTAAATAATTATGAATACAAACAGATTTATATTGAGCAAGGCTAGCGGGAAGTTCCAGATTTAAAGACGAACGGTGTCCATTCCTATAAGTCTGCATAATTATGAATGAGGATAACAAGTTTGAAGTAGATACACAGAGTTACGAAACATATTGTCCAGATTGGCACGTCTGAATGGCTGATGCAGAGTAAGATGCATATCGTCTACGTAGGTCTGCAGGAGGCACACAATGTTCAGAAAAACTCCTAAATGAAGACGAACAATGTAAAGCCAGCATGTAGCGCTGCATCATACATGCAGACCCTTTGTAGACCTCTGTATGACTACCTATTAAAAGAATATATTTTAAAATAACCTACCATAGTTTACGACGGTGACAGTCCATATTTAAGAGTCTAAAGACCGCATTCAGAGTAATAAGCACAACCTCAACGTACAACATGACGAGCCAAAGGTCTTTATCAACACTTAAGTGCAGAGCATCTTTGCAGCTCTGTATGAAGAATGGATGCAGGGTTAGAGTGATGACATGACAACTATAGAACCTCTGTTAAGGTCTATATGAAGTGCAGAGCCTCTGGGTAGCTCTGTATGAAGCACGGAGTGTGGCTCCGATTGACCGCGTAGCACGATAAGAGCCTCTGTTAAGGTCTATATGAAGTGCAGAGCCTCAGGGTAGCTCTGTATGAAACACATAGTGTGGCTACGATTGACCGCGTAGCAAATGGAGAGCCTCTGTTAAGGTCTATATGAAGTGCAGAGCCTCTGGGTAGCTTTGTATGAAGCACGGAGTGTGGCTCCGATTGACCACGTAGCACGTGGAAAGCCTCTGTTACAGACTGTATGGACAATGGAATGACGCTTGAGAGACACGAGGGTGTAGAAATTGTGCGGAGTTAAAAGTATGAAGAACGACTTCGGAATAAGAGGCGGACCTCAATGTAAGACATGGCGCGACAGAGGTCTTGCTCAATACATAAGTGCAGAGCCTCTATGTATCTCTGTATGAAGCACGGATGCAGATCTATATCAAGAAGCGGAGCCTCAACATAAGACATCAAGAGATACAGCTCTGTGTATCTCTATTGCAACTTCTTTTGTGATTAATTAAGTTTATATTATGAGGCAAGGAAGGACAAAGAGAGGCTCAAGAAAGTGCAATGTTCATACATAAGAACAGAGAACAACAGCAAAATTATGTACTCATACAAAGAAATTGGATATTACATAAAAAACAAATAATAATGAAACCGTGTACCATAATACATTCACCAATTAATACATCGTTGCACGAAACAAAATCCAATCACAAAAACAATCTCAAATATGAAACACGAATATTACTTCTGAAGCGAGGTCTCAACGTAGGACATCAAGAGAGAGTTCTTTCTCAACACTTAAGTCCAGAGCCTCTGTGTATCTCTTGTCCATCTCGACGTTACCATACCTAATCCTTTTTCTTCCTGTCTATTCCTTTTCCAAGACGTCTCTACTGCACCTTTTCATGTCATTACACTCTGTATGAGGCAAGGAAAGACAAGGAGAGGCTCAACGTAGTGCAATGTTCCTACATAAGAACATCAACAACAACAAAATTCTCTAATCATCGAAACAAGTTTAATATTAAAAAAATAATAATAATTAAACCGTGTATCAAATTACATTGACCAATTAACAGATCGTTGTACGAAACAAAATCCAATTACAAAAACAATCCCAAATACGAAACACAATGTAATAAGAAGAATAAGACATTTTACGGTGCTCGTTAAATAAGACAATTGTGACATCCGGCAAAGTTTCAGCTCTCAGGTTAGCACCCGATAAGCACTTATTAGTATTATTTTAGTGAAAATCCTTCGTTAGAATCTATTTAGATTGAATTAGGCAAGAGTCTGTTAAAAATTCCGGCAGTAGCGTAGAAATCCCAAAAACTACTTAGAAAGCCTGGTTTCGGCTCGTAACTGACTGACACACCTTATATAATGCCAAACTACATAAATTAATATTTAATATATATAAAATATGGAGTTTATATTTCTACAAATAAAATTTATTTTATTTAAATATTTAAGCTAATTTAGAGTGCGGTTTAGGAGAAAACGTCTTACGCGATAAAACGATTTTCGTATCTGATAACTTGTGGGTTTTTTTTTTTAAATAAAAAAAATTAAAATGGGGGCCCATATAGGGGCCGGCCACCCCCATCACACACACATACATAACATTAATTTTTTTTCATTTTCAAAATCATTCTTCATTTCTCTAGAAGGAAACCATCCATATTTATCTCTCTCTCTCACTCTAAGCTTAAATCACATTCATTCTTTTCTTCAAGAACACAGCAGATTCCAGCCCCTTTTTCATCCAATAAAAATCGAAATTGTGAAGTATCAAGTGGTCATCATCATACAATTAGAGGTATAATTATATCTTTGCATTTTTGAGTCATTTGGAGCACTTTTAGTGCCTTTTCTTGATGTTTTTCCACACTTATTTACATTTCAAGTAGAATGATACATTCTTGATGTTCTTGAAGTGAGATTGAACACCAAAAGATATGAAAAATATCCATAAGTGGTGAAAATCTAGGAACTTCCATCAAAGAACACAAGAAATTGTGAAAAATCATCCAAAAATGGGTGTTTTTGCATCAAAAATCCGAATCTGAATTTGGGGGCCTTTGCAAGCATAATTATTCCCAAATTTTGGGTGTTTTCCTCTGTCATTTATGTTATGTGGTGGTGAGAATAAGCCTTTGCAAAAGAAACCACCATTTTTGTGTATTTGAATGCTCAAAAGTTTGGTTTTGATAAGAAAATGTATTCCGGTTGCTGTCAGAATTTTAAGTCTGACTTTGGACGACCATAACTTGGTCTAAAAAAGTCCAAAATCTTTAATTTTTCTTTTTAGAATCATATTCATTGAGTTAGATTTTTGTTCCAACTGGATTCATAAGAAAACATTGAGGTTTGACCCCTCAACTCTTATGAACAAAATTCGTGTGCATCTGTCTGTGGTCAGGATTTTTAGTTAACTTGTTGCATGCATATCTCTTGGTAAAATTAGCAAAAATACTTGATTTTTCTTTTGAAACTCAAGTTTAATGGGTTAGTTATTTGTAGCATTCAGAATCATCCAAATATTTTGAGTTTTAAGGGTGCAAGCATCAAAAACAAAAAGATTGCGCAATCTGTCCAGCAATGGAAGATTCATACATGCTTGTTTAAATGGCCATATCTCTCTCAAAAGTGGTTGGATTTAAGTGATTTTTATCTCATTTGTTAGTGTTATGGGTTATCTTTAAAACCCCATTGGAATTTCTAAAAATGGTGAAGATTCAAACCTCCAAATGAATGCATTATTGAATGTATGTAATCTGTTATTGGTACTGTATACCATTATTTTGCAAAATTCATTTGGATGACTTAAGCAACTCAAAATGTCATGAATTTTTGTCAGAATAGTCTTAACTCACTAAACTTCAGTAGATAAAAAATTAATAAACTTTGTCTTTTTGGAAGATACCCAAAAATGACCTTTTTGTGGACTTAGAATTTTGGCAGAAACTGTGTTATGC